CAAGTGGTATCAGAGTGTAGATTAGAGAATTATGGGAGACAAATATCATGGACACCATTACTATGAAGTGGTACTGAAGAGAATTTCAGTTTTTGTAAGATGCAAGTAAAGGATCTTCTTACGTGCAAGAAGATACACAAGGCTTTGGGGGAAAGACCAGCGGGGATGACTGACAAGGATTGAAATGAGATGGATGAACATGCCGTTGCAAACATCAGGATGTCTTTATCGATGGGTGTATCTAGCGTCATGGTGAAAGAGACGAAAGCAAAAGAACTGATGAAGGCCTTGTAAGACAGGTATGAGAAACCTTCTGCCAACACCAAAATACTTCTATGGACCAAGTATTTCAATATCCACATGGAGGAGGAAACCTCAGTAAATTCTCACATTAATGAGCTCACCGACATATTGAACAAACTAAAAGGGATGAATATTAAGATTGATGAAGAGGTGAAGGCTATGAGACCGTTGACATCTTTGCCTGACAGTTGGGAGACGATGAAGACTGCGGTGTTGAATTTGTTGGGAGATAATAGTCTGAAATTTGCAACTTTTGTGATGCTGCCTTATCTAAAGAAACTCGAAGGAAATTGAGGAAAATGTCTGCATCTACTTCAGGGGCAGAAAATGGGGTTCAATCAGTTTGGTAGTTCAAAACAAAGGGAAGGCCAAGATGAATTACACACGGAAGCCGGAGTAGAGAAATAACAGAGCTAGCGGAAGTTTCAGCAGGTAAATGGAGTGTTATTACCGCCATAAGAAATGACACATTAAACGTCTTTGCAGGAAGTTAAAATAAGAGTTTGAGAAAAAGAACAACACTGCAAATGTTATAACAGAAGAAGAACCAATTGAAGAGTTTCTAGCTTGCATTGAGAGGAATACATCCGTAGACCATTCTTCAGAGTGGGTAGTGAACATTGTAGCATCAGCGCATGTTACTTCAAACAAACGTTGGTTCCCATCTTTTGTTGTAGGTGATCATGGCTCAGCGAGAATGGGGAATGAGAGTGTGTCCAAGGTGAGAGGAATTGGAGATGTTTGTTTAAAGAGAAGTGAAAGGGCTGAGTTAGTGTTGCGAGACGTCAGGTATATTTCTAGCTTCAGATTGAATTTGTTATCCGCAGGGAAGCTAGACGATGATGGCTACAAAAGTGAGTATGTTGGGGGTGGCTGGAAGCTCAAGAGGAAATCTAGGATAACGGTGACAGACCAGAAGAGATCTTCTGTTTATGTGTTAGAGTTTGGGGTTGCCAATGGTTCACTAAGACAGAGAATGCACCTAGTAGTTGCAGATGGTTCAAGGCGAGACCTTAGAGGACCAGTAGCATTGATGGCCAAAAAAGATCAGAAGAATCTGCCATCAACTCAAGTTAAACAGCTGGGAAATACAGAAAATGGAAATGGGAATTTGATAGGCCATCGAGTTCATACCTCAGTTTTTAGACGTTCAGACGAGCTGGTAAGGTCGCATAGGCAAATTAGTGCATCGAAGGGTACAAGTTCTATTTCTCGTGTGGCAACATGCTTGGGTGAGAGTACCAAGCCTAATATAGAGAGAAAATCTTCTTTTAGAGGTCAATGAACTCGATCGAAGAAAGAAGCAGAGGGAACTACTTAGATCAAGTGGAAATACGTGGTTATGTCTCTAAGTCTAGGGGCAAGACCACGTAAAGCTGCCCAGTCTCAAGGCAAAATCAGACAGGGAGGATCGAGCAGTGTGGATCAGTTCGTTGACAGAGTAGTTATAACTGAATCTTGGCAGAGTTGTCAAGATGAGGGGACACTGTTGTTGCAGTGAGAGGCGAAATTGTTATTTTGTCTCAAGTGGGAGATTGTTGGGAATTGGATAAAAAATTTAAAAAAAAAAAGAAAAAAAGAAAAAAGGAGGAGTGAAAGTCTTTGGACCATGAGAAGGGTCAAACTTTAGTTGACTTTTTTTGTCTTTTAACACATGTTGCTATTACATTTTTTGTGGTGGCCGTGGAACACAAAAATAAAGGAGTCGTGTATTTGAAAGGTAATTGGCAGCAGCCAAATTTGGGAGATTCTGGCAGTATTTTGAGGTGACGGTGGGAGTATTTGGCAAAGACTTGGACAAATCAGAATCGTCTTTATTGGGGTAATTGTATCTTGATCCTATTGTGAGTTTTCTCATTCCTGTATCTAAGTAATTGTGTTAGATTGCTTGACGGACTTTTGTTGGGGCCTCTAAGGGATATTTTTGGGAGAGTTTATTGTAATTCAATTCTTAACAATATTAGTGAATTACTCACGTCTGAGTGGAAGACTAGACGTAACCTTTAATTGGTGAACCAGTATATATAATTTTGTTGTGTCGTATTCATGTGATTTACAGTTTCATCCTTATTTGTATATTGTGGTGTGTGGTTCGATATTCCTGTGAAACGGAAAGTTATTCAAGCCCATTAATTTCTCAACAACAATATTCTTTTTTTTTTTTTATGAAATCAACGAGAGAGTGTAATAATAGAGCCAGTCTAAGCAAGAAAGGAAACCTCCTAAAATGGGCTATTGTATGGCAATGTCTATCTTGTATACACCGAATGCTTTCAAATACCTCTCTCTTCATACAAGAAACAGAATGTTAAAATGACAAATGAATTAGTGGCAAAGCAAAAAAAATATAGTATAGGAATCTATTAGGAATTTTGGAAAGAAAATTTACAGTGAGATGTGGATATTTGTTACCTAATTTTAAAAAATGGTCGAATTTTGGAAAGAAAATTTATAGTGAGATGTTGATATTTGTTACCTAATTTTAAAAAATGGTCAAATGATCTTTGATAAAAAAGTGTTCATTTCTATCTTTCTAACTATTTTCCCCATTTAATTTTGATCATTTTACCCTTTCTATTTTGTTATTATTTTTAAAAGTGAAATATCTCAACTTCCTTGATCTCTCCAAAATTCTATCTCTTCTTAGTTCTAGTCTTTTCTTCTCAACTATTGTTGCTATAAACTTACTTGATATATATGTAGAGACAAAATTCACGAAATATAAGGAGACAACATATTGAGGGAGACGATCAAAGAGGGAAATGATTGAAGCCACGAAGGGAGAGAGGAGACTGAAAGTATTGCAAGAGAGACAAAAATCAAATGAAGGAGACACATGAACAATGGTGGGGCAACGCGGCGAGTAATAGAGTGGTTGTAAGTGTGGCAGCAGCGGTAGAGGGTAGAGGAGAGAGAGGCCTATATGCTAAGTTTCTATGTATCTTTTTCATTTGAGGTATGATGTATTAACTGTTCACAAAAATACACCTTATTTGTTGTTCACACATTATTTATTCACCATATTTGTTCACTATTTTGGTTCATATGTGTGTACCGTACTTTTTGTGTTGTGTACACTATATTTGTTCATGTGTTCACTGTATTTAATTGTTCATGTGTTCACCATCCATGTTTAGCGTATTTGTTCATGCATTTGTTCACCCTCCAATATTCGTCGTATTTGTTCACATGTTTATCGTATTTGTTCATCTATTCGTCTATTTGTTTCACTTGGGTCTTAGTATTTTTATTTCTAATTAAATTTTATTTATTATATATTCTTTAAGATTTTTTTTAGTATCATTTTTTATAATGATTTTATTCTTTAAATTTTGTATTTTTAATATAATTTTCAATAATGATTTTCTGGTTTAAATTTTGATTTAGATTTTAATTTAATTAATATTTTTTTTCTCTTAGATTTGTTAGTATAATTCTCCTAAATATTGGTTGGAACAATATTTGAATTTGAAATATGGCAAGATTCTCAAAATATTTGAATTATTATATAAAAATGGTAGTAGGATTCTCCTATAAAAAAGAAATATATTTATTTTAAAATCATGAGAAGGCTTAATTTTGTACCTAAAAATTAGTAGAGATGTTCTTATTTTTACAAAACTAAAAATTATTTGTTCATTTTTTGAAATCAAATGGCTATATCAATTATATTACCGTTTTAGAAAAGCATCCCATCGCACTCGTTTTTGGATAATAGTAAGTACTTTGGCTTGAAGCTAAAGCCAAGAGTCGGTGGAGCACTCTTTTTCTAGTAAACACGTTCATAAATAAATAATAAATTTTCTATCAATTAAATACTTGTTTAATTTACAAGTGACGATTTGACCTACAACAAGTGATAAAAGAGAGTACGTCAACTATATAAAATAAAAGTAGACATATTGCAAAAACTTTGGTTTAAAATGTATTCTATTTTCCAGCTACATCAAATTCTTATACCTTGTTTACCCTTATTTTATCTAATTAACCTACCTTTTTGTATCACTTATTGTCAAATCATTTTTTAGTTCCATCAATTTATCGGGAATTTGAATCGCCAATCCCAGATATTGTACGAAAAAAATTTTATCGATGTTCCAACCATGGTGTCAAAAGATTGTAATTTTAACCACATAAATAATTGAGTTATTGTCAAGATTAAAAATGTTGATATCTTAATTTTATGAAAATACCAATATCGATAAAATGCTGACGTCAATAAATATTTCTACAAATTTCTTAAAATAAAAATATTATAATAAAATAATCATTGCACTATTTTTTAAATAAATTAAAATTCATTAATGTTAATATTGACTAGGTCTAATATTAATGATATTTTATTGATATTTTTTATATTTTTTGGTTTATCTCTGATTTACATTTTCATACGTCCGTAGGTTCAACATATTGAACATTCTCTATAAAAAAATGTCCGACGTGTCGAAACGTATCTAAAATATTATATATATAATATATATATTTTAGTACTATAATGGGGTAATTGATTGGGCAGAAATCTGTGGGATTCGTTGAGGAAATGCCTTAGCATTTTCCAGGAAATTACAAAGTATTTGTTGGGTCAAATCAAATAAGAAATTCCACATGGGATTTTCTGTCTCATGGGATTTTCTCAAGACATTATTATAAAGTTGAAACCCATTTTTCTTCCTATAAATATTTCTTTAGAGGTGAAGTTCCCTCTACTCTGCCATCCTCCGTCATGGAAACCCATAAGGATCTTCAGGAGTTTCAGAACCATCATACAAACCCTAAAACTACTGGGTTTGCTCCCTTTCTCTCTCTTTTTCTTTTTGCGGGTTTTTTTTATCAACAATACTTACCTACATACTCGTCGATAGAAGTTTCTTCGGACTTTTTAATATGACGTATTTTTATTAATGGTTGGATTAGTAAGCATTTGTTTGGTATGCAATTTGAATTTTTTTTTTCGAATCATAGTCCATATGTGTTAGCAGATTTATTTTTTAAGACTGTTTTCTGTGATCTAAATAGTAAAATTTTTTAAAACAGCACTTTTGTGTTTTTTCAGATTTTGAAAAAAAAATTGATTAATATATTATTTTATGTTATAAACTCTTTTTTTTTCTTTCTTTTTTTTTCTATTTTCTTCTTAAAATTAAATCATTTAAAATATAATATTGTAAAATAATAATCCTACAAAATAATATTTTAGATTTAACTAAATATTTAGTGGGTAATATTACTAAACACATGTTTTGAAAAAGTTTTTAAATTGAGATTCAATTTTTAAATAATTTATCAAACACATATTCGAAAACATTTATACAATTTTTTTATTTTTTTTATTGAAATCACTTGTTTTCAATTTTTAGATCCCAGACCAAATGCTCCTAAAATTTTTTAGCTAATATTTCGTGTCAAAAAATCAGAAGGATCTTTTATTGAGGGGTGTGTCAGCAAATATTTTTTATTTTTTAAGGTTAATTATATTTTTTTAGTGCCTAATATTTTGGTACATTTTCAATTTAGTACCATCCTTTCAAAAGTTTCAATTAGTCTATTAGATTTTAACATTTTCCAATTTAGTCCCTCGCTAAACTTCTATGCCATATTACTTAAAGTGAATTGAATACTTTGTAAATTGACATAAATTTGGAAAAGAAAAAATATTATCTAATTTCCTTTCTCTCTTATTTTCCGTGATTATTTATTTTTTTAATATAACATGCAAGGTGGAGGTTCAAATTCACGACTCCCTGGTTGAAAATAGGTGTCTTGACTAATTAAGGAGGTTCAGTTTGGCCCTTTTTTTTTTTCTTTTCCTGTGATTATTGAATATGCCTTTTGCAGTTTTGAAGTTGAATCTAATATTTCATTTCGTGAATCATGGCCTCAAATCCAAGCTCTTCTTCGCCAACTGGTATTTATCATCCTTTTCTCTCTCCTTTTCCTATTTTTTCTTTGACGTTAAAATTTATCACTTTAGTTCCAAATTTTCAATTTTGTTTCAATATACTCATATGATTTTAGAAAGTTTACAATTTATTTTCTATATTTTGGTTAAATCTCAAACGTCTCTAAATTTATCAAATCTTGACAATTTTATTCCACACTAGATCATTTCCTCTGCTATGTGGGATTGTCTTTTAATAATCGTGGGATATAAATATAAAATCTAGTTGTTCCTTATATAGTATTTAACTTTTTTAATACATCCATCGATATTGAATTACCAGCCACGTTGTTGTTTCAGTCCCGTCTTTGTTAAATCTCGAAAAAACATTGTGTGTCCGAACGGAAAAAACACCACGTAAGATAGCAGTCTTGTACGAATAGGTGTGTTTTGGGATTAGATGGTAGGGAACAAATTAAAATTTTTAAAATCATATCAATTAAATTATAAGTAAAAACAAAATTTAGAATAATGGTTTTTTTTTCATGAAGATAGCTGAGTAGTTAAAATATAAATTTTATCAACATTTTTATAAAATTGAGATCTCCACACATTCATCGAAAGCAATATTCAAATCTCGAGATTCGAAATTATGATTTTCAGATACACAAAGAAGTGGAGAAAGAAGTGGAGAGGAAGATTCATGCTCTGTTTCCTTCCCTTCCATCATCACCAAGGTCAGTCTTTTGTACTCAATTCTCAGTTAAACAATAAATTTTAGGTATATATTTTAAATGTGAATTACATTTTAAATATTTGAATTTTTTTAACAAAATTCATATTTATTTATCCATAATCTTTTTTTTTAATACAAAAATAGGATATAGGGGATTGAACCTCCAACCTCAAAGAAGAGATAACGTACCGATTACCGCTAAACAATGCTCATGTTGACTTATTTATTCATAATCTTCATAGTCATGTATACTAATAGATTATGGAGTTTAAGAATAAGAATATGATCACAACTTCATATCAAATCTTATTATCCAATCATAGATACAATACAGCATTTATATAGAAGAGCTGTGATGAAGGATTACTACTGACAGATTAACAAACCTTGATAACAAACCCACTCTAACATAACAGTAACAATAACTAATTACACATTAGTGAGCTATCTTAATACCCCTTCAAGTTAATGTCCATTGAATAAACGACATTGAGCTTGGATCGAAAAGGCAAAAACGTTTTAGCGGAGAGAGGTTTAGTGAGGATATCTGCCGCTTGAGCAGTTGCTGGAACATGATATACTCTAAGTTTTTGCTGCAACACAAGATCCCTGACGAAGTAAATGACAAGTTCAACGTGTTTTGTTCGAGAGTGTAAAATCAGATTTGCACTTAGATATACGGCACCTAAGTTATCACACCATAGGATTGGAGGCTGAGGTAGAGGAATTTGTAATTCAACAAGTAGTGACGTCAGCCAGATCAATTCCATGGCTGCATTTGCGATGCAACGAAATTCTGCCTCTGTGCTGAACCGGGAGATGATAAGCTGCTTTTTCGACCCTCAGGAAACTAAATTACCACCAAAATATATACAGAAACCAAAGTGGATTTTCTGTCGTTAGGGTCTGACGCCCAATCTGCATCAGCAAAAGGAAGGTTGAGAGAGGAGTAAATTGTGATGAAGAGTTCCTTTAAGGTACTTCAGAACTCTTTTTGTTGACTGCCAACGAGAAAGAGTTTGAGCATGCATAAATTGGCAGATTTTATTTATTGAATATGAAATCTCTGGTCGTGTAACAGTGGCATACTGTAAGGAGCCAACAACACTACGATATAAAGAAGGATATGTGAAAAGGGCACCACCTCTAGCGAACAGAACATACCCATTCATCATAGGAGTAGATATTTCGTTTGCGTCAAACATCTTGGAACGGTGTAGGAGATCCGAAATATACTTTGACTGGGAGAGAAACATGGCTCTCGAGGAAGTATAGGAAACTTCAATTCCTAAAAAGTAGCTCAAAGTCCCCAAATCTTTTAGAGCAAATATTTGATTTAGAGAGCAATAAGAGCATTAATTTCTGTTGACGAAGAGCCAGTGATGACTATGTCATCTACATAAATGAGTACATAGCAAGCAGAGGTGGATTTAACACGCATGAATAGAGATGTATCAACTTTTGAGTTCACAAAACCAGCAGTAAGGAGAAAATTTTCAAATCTGTCAAACCAAGCCCTAGGTGCTTGTTTGAGTCCATATAGGACCTTCTCAATTACACACCAAAGGACGAGAAGTATAAGGGTTGAGATATTAAAACCTGCTAGCTGCTCCATATAGACTTCCTCAGATAGTAACCCATGGAGGAATGCGTTATTTATGTCCAATTGACGAATGATTCAGTTTTTGGCTAAAGCCATAGTAAAGAGAACTTTGTTGGTAACTGGTTTGATGACTGGACTAAATGTCTCAAAATAATCAAAGTCTGCAACTTGATGGAACCCTTTAGCAACCAATCTGGCTTTGTACTGAGCGATAGATTCATCTGAGTTATGTTTGATTTTGAACACTCATTTGCAGCTAATGGTTTTCTTGTTCAAAGGTAGAGGCACTAGATCCCACGTGTGGTTATTCGTGGTTATTCAATAGAGCTTCATATTCTAAGTTCATAGCTTGTTTCCACTGATCACATTTCAAGGCGGTTTTGGCGTTAGGAGGCTCGATGTCCAGAAATTCAGTTAAAAACACCCTGGGTTTCCAAATACCATTTTTGGACCTTGTCACCATTGAATTAGTATTCATAGTGGAGTCAATAGTGGATGATATAGGCACTGAAACAGGAGATAAGTTTGTAGGTACTAGAATAGGAGAAGATGCGTGATCTGTTTGGTTGGGAAGGTAATGGATTGGATTCACTGGCGGAAGGAAGTTCTACAGCAGTGGAGGTCAGAACAGGAGATGTTGAAGAAGGGCCAGGTCTGATAGGAAATGGAGCTTGAGTATTAGAATTAGGTGGAATATGATTTTGATTTGATGATGAAGGTTGTGATGAAGTAGTTCCATTGGTAGTAGGTGCTGATGAGATAGAATTTGCATAGGGAAGGACAGACTCATCGTAAATAATGTGATGGGATATAAAGAGCCGACCAGATTTATCAAGACATTTATAACCTTAATGAAGGTTACTATAGCCAAGAAATAAACAATGAGATGAACGAGATTGGAGTTTGTGGTGATTGAAAGGTCGAAGATATGGGAAGCAATTGCAACCGAAAACTTTGAGAAAGTTATAGTTTGGTTTAGTTTGAAACAGAACTTCCATAGGACATTTTCCATGAAGGATATTAGTAGGTAGTCTATTAATTAAGTAAACCGAGGTGGAGAAAGCATCATCCCAAAATTTTAATGGTAAGGAAGCATGAGTTAAAAGGGTTAAACCCGTCTCGACAGTATGGCGGTGTTTTCTTTCCACGATACCGTTTTGTTCTGATGTATAAGGACAAGTAAGGTGATGAAGAATACCATTTTGGTTGAGAAAGGAAGTGAATGAACGAAATTCACCTCCCCAGTCAGTTTGGAGCATTTTAATCGGGTGATTAAGGAACTTTTCAACTTAGGTTTTGAATATGATAACGTTTGTAAGGCTTCAGATTTAGATTTAAGAAAATAGATCCATGTGGATCTTGAGAATACATCAACAAAGCTCATATAATATTTGTAGTCATTGGAAGAAGATAAATGTGAGGGACCCATAGATCAGATTCTATGAGTTGTAGCGGTGCAGTATACATTGTTTGGAAGAAGAAAATGGTTGCTTGTGAATTTTTCCAATAGAACAAGAGTGACATAATTGTGGCATTTTATTTGGAATAGTAATATTACATTGTGGTAGAGCTTGGTAAACAACAATTGAAGAAGGATGGCCTAATCTTAGATGCCACAAAACAGCCTTAGAGACATCAGAATTACAAGTAGAAGAAGGAGATGAGTGACAAGAAGTATTACTTTCGGGTGATATGGCAGAGGATACTAGTAGTGCAGAAGACGTGTGTTGAGAAGCTAGGTCACAAAGAAAGTTCTTGAGATGTGCTTTCACCATATCAAATTTGCATAATCCTTCATGAAGATGTCCTTGGAGTAAAGTTGTCCCAGTGATTTGGTCCTTTACAAAAACAAGTTAGTGGATAGAATTCAAAGAAAACATTATTATCTTTTACAAACTGACTGACATTTATTTATTAAGTTTTTGGTCATATGGGAAACATGAAGTAGGTTTTTTATGTTAAAAACATGGCAAGAAGAAGAGACACAAGAGGAATTGGAATGTTTAAGTAAAGTACTGCTAGTATGAAGTACATCCAAACCTGTTCCATTTCTCACATGAATTTGATTGCCTCCTGAATACTCATGTCCAATTGCAAGCTTTTCATATGAATTTGTGATATGATTGATGGAGCCTGAATCTGGATACCAACAGCTATCAGTGGTTGGGTTTGGAGTCACAATCCTAGCCTGCATCTGACTATTTTGGAATTGGTTAGAAGCATAGTTCTGATATTGGTGCCATTGTAATTTTGAGAATTTCCATTTGCCTAGTTATTTTTTTGTTGGTGTCCTTCAAATCGAAAGTAGCATTTGAGGGCTGTATGTCCAAATTTACCACACATTTGACATTCAATTCGATTGTTGTTGTTCCACTGCCTTGCTCTACTGAAACTTCGATTTCCATTGTTTCGATTTCCTCTCTGATTGCCTTGATTATGATAATTATTAGGAGTCGTATCATTTGATTGTTTGTCATTGTTTTGAAACGTGAGATTTGTTGTGGGTCGTATACCATCAGGGTTTATACCAAAAATTCTTTCAATTCTATTTTCGTGAGATAGTAAAAAAGCATATACTTCTTGGAGTGGCTTGGGTTTTGCTCTTACATGGTTACTGTATATCCTACTAAATTCAAAAAGTTAACAAGACTCATTACCTTTGCTGTGTAGTCTTTATACTCATGCTCCCTCTCTTTAAATTCTATATTCGCCTTTCAATTGCATGATCTTTGCAGTATTTGTTGTCAAGTATAATTGTTCGAGTGAGTCCCAAATATCTTTTGCAGAAACGCAACCGATCATTTGAGCCCAAATTTCTTCATTCATCGACCCAATAGCCAAGAAGATAGAAGTTTATCTTGTCGAATCCAAGAAAGATATTCAGGATTTTCTTCTAGAATTGATGTTATGCCTTCTTCGTTTCCAGTGGTTTGTAGGAATTGCGAAGGAATTGTCTTTGTACCTTTGATGAATTTTTCCAATCCATGCCCTTGAATTGTTGTCAAGATCTGAAACTTCCATAACAGATAATTGTTATCTGTTAATTTGATTAGGGAAATTTGATTTCCTGGATTTGAAACTAGCGTATTGTGTCCTGGGATTGTTGTGACTCCATTGTTCGTTTGTGTGGAACTTGATGATGTCATTTCCCGTTAAGCTAAGGTGCTCTAATCAAAAAATGTTATGAACCCAAGCTAAATTTTTTAAACTACAAAAATATATATAAACCTAACTTTTAAAAATAAATAATGATAAACAAAATACTTATCAAATAGGCAAAAATTAGTTTTTTAAACGGATTAGTACATTGAGGAGGAGGAGGAGGAGGAGGAGGAGGAGGAGGAGGAGGAGGAGGCCTCTCTTTTCCGTCTCCGGCCGACTATCTCTGCATTCCTTCGCCTCTGCCGCCATCTGGGTGCCTCCTTCTCTGGCCGCCGTCTCCATTATTCTTATTCAAAAACTCGTCGTTTCCGTCCGCTCCTTCGTCTCCAATCCCCCTCCATTGCCGGAGCAGTTCATCTTCGTTTATCCCGATCGAAAGATTTACTTTTCAATATATCCTAATAGTTTTCTCTTTCATATTTGTACAATGTTGAAAACTTTTTTTTTCGATTTCTGATTTCGTGTGAATTATTGTATATATGGGGTTATAAGAAATTTTATATGGAATTTAGTTTATATTCGGATATATCCGAGGGTTGTAGTTGGAAAGTGAGTTGCTAACAGTGATTTTATTTTAGAAGACTAAAAAATCAGGATATATCCGAGTGTTGTAGTTGGAGAGTGAGTTGCTAATAGTGATTTTAGGAAGTTTATATGGAATTTAGTTTATATCGGGATATATCCAAGGGTTGTAGTTGTAGAGTGAGTTGCTAACAGTGATTTTATTTTAGAAGCCTCAATAATCCGGATATATCTGAGGGTTGTAGTTGGAGAGTGACTTGCTAATAATGATTGTGGATATTTTTATAATTAATAATATTGGTAAATCAAGAGAATCAATCTTTTTGAAAGAGTAAATTAAGGTTTTGAATGGGTGAATTAAGGGATTATTGTTGAAAATTTATATGGGTTCACAGAATTATGATAATAATTTATAGAATTAAATCTTTTATATTCAAAAAAACAAATAACTATAATAAATGTAAATGCAATTAAAATCGGAATTAAAATAAAATCCTACCGGTAGAAATCTAAAAGTATAAAATTAGAAAATTTTAGAAATTTGTCTAAATAAATTTCTAAAATAGCCCTTCAATGGCATTATCTCTTGGTGAAATTTAACTATGATTCCTAAAAATTATAAGGAAATTAAAAAAAAAACAAATAAAAATGTAGTCGTTTCCTCTTATTTTGAAATATATATGTATATATATATGGTGGCCATATTTATTAAATATTTTTTTTCTAGTGTTGTAGGTGTTTTGCTTCTCCCAAAGAAGCAATTGTTGGGCTTGGAACAGTGAAGGAATTTGAAGCTGAATTTAGTGATATCATGGATTTAAACAAGGTACAATTTTTTCTTTCTTTCTCTTTGGGAATATACACTTATTTTCTAATTTCATATTTTCATGCACAATGTTTTGAAATATTCACTTTTAATTTGGCTCCAATGTCTTATTAAACTTAAAATTGAATAATTGAAAGGATGGTGAGAGGTGCTTACAAAACTACACCTTATATAAATTATGTGTTTTAAAAACCCAACTTGGTAATATTGAGGTTGTTTTTCAAAACTATAAAAATGTCAACCTGTGTATGTTTTTAAAATTAAAAAAAAAAAAAGTTAACTACCTATGCCGACTAGAAGATCGTGAGTTCGAATCCTCTCACCTCACGTGTTGTACTAAAAAACAAATTTTAAATGTCGTTAGACATGAAAATATTTATATCCATGATATTAAGTGGCCTATACCTCAATTAACTTTCCTTGTTTCTCTTTGATTGAGATTAATTGGTAATGATATTTGTTCTAATAATGCAGCATTATTTGGTTGAAAATGATGCCATGGAAGGTGGAGCTAATGAAGAGAATGTGGAAATTGATGAGAAAACTTCACAAATATGATTATTGGTTTCTTTCTTTCTTTTTTTTTTTTTTTTTGGAATTTAATTAATCTTTCATGTTCAAGAAACCAAAGGCCCAACTCCTAAAATATTTGTAGAAGTGTTACTTTTAGTCTCCAAATCTTAAATTCTGCATGTTTTCATACCCTTTGAGGTTTCAAATTTTTATGTTTCTGATCCTTGTTGTTAGTGATTTTTAACATTTAATGGTCGTACGAAATTCAGTCTCTATCCTTAAAGATTTATCTTATTTTAGTCGGTGTACTTTTGATAAATCTTAAAACTACTCTATATCGTTAGGTTGAGGTTAATTTTAATTTGATTTGGAAAAAAAAATTGATAATCTTCATTCGAGATAGGTCACATTGTGAATATGCTTTGTGCTTTGTCCCAAATTTTAAAAGGGAAAGTCAAATGGTTAAGTCACCTATCTCTGACCAAAAGGTCATGAGTTCGAACACCCACCTCATGTTGTATTCCAAAAAACAAAAAGAAATGTCAATATAGAGACTACATATTTTGGCAAAAAAATTAACCTCAAATTTGAGGATCATAACTATTTTTAAGATTTATTAAAAATATTAGAGTCTAAAGGACATTTGAAAATATATTAATTTAAAATAGAATAACTCTTGAAGGACGGAGACTAGAATAGTATTTTAACGATAATTTTATTTACAATGGTTATAGTGTTATCTACTACGGTTAAAGGAAACGAATTGCAAACCTGATTATAAAAAAAAAAGTTTAATAACTGGGAGTCGAAACTTTACTCCCATATACTTAGGAGCACCCGCGCTCGTCACAGGGCCCAGACTTGAGAGACATCAAGGTTTTTTTTTATTAAACTCACTAAAAGTTTCGAACTTGAAACCTCTGAGTCAGTGTGATCAAGAGACCTCAAGCTAAAGATTGGGGAAATGTATTTTACCTTCTTTTGAAATTTTTAAGTTTTGAAAGGTCGGAGAAGTGTATTTTACCTCTAAGCCAGTATGACCAAGAATCCCCACCCCGCTGAATCATGGGCTCAATTTGAAGATATTCTTCTTAAAGTGGTATTTTCATCTCTCATTCTCTTTCCATTGTCAATTTCTTCATCGGTCTAAAAATTTTCTTCATCTGTCTAAAACTTTTACGAAGATTCGAGTTAGATTTTTTTTTTCTTTTTTGAATATAACAAGTGGAGTTAGGGGTATTTAAACTCATAACCTCTTGATCATGAAACATGTGTCAATTACTGCTGAAATAAACTCATATTGGCATTCGAACAAGAATTTGAAACAATGTTTTTTTTAGTATAACAAGTGGGGTAGGGAATTTGAACTTATGACCTCTTAGTTAGAAATGGGTGCCAAGTACGGTTGAACTAAGCTCATTTTGGTAAATAACATTGAAACAATGTCGTAGTATATAGAAAACTATTTTATATAAATTGGTGTCTTTTCAATGTGAAATACTCACTTCATCCCTACTCAATTTTTTTTAATCACAACATGTGAGGGTAGGCATTCGAACTCACCCAAAGTTACTTCAAACTAAGCACACTTAACTTTCAAGTTCTTATGATTGAGTCACCAAAAGATAGGAATGTATGTCTTGTTAGTATATATATAGTAACTATTAATTCTTTTAAACCTTTCGTAATCATACTTCTATAATCTCATGATCCCTCTTATATGAATACAGTATTAGTGTTGTGAAAAAAAAATACAGTCTACACTTAAAAGGATTAGATAAAATAATCTAAAACTTCTAAGTAACAAGAACGATAAATAGATTAGGGAGAAGAAAATTAAACGCCGGATTTATACTGGTTCACCCAATGTGGGCTACGTCCAGTTCTCTGCTACCGTTGCAGGTTTTACTAAAATGTCAGGAAGAATCTTTCAAGAGTTTACAAACCCCTTACAATGATTTCTCTCAGTTTTCTCTCACATAGAAAATGCTCACGAATCACTCTACAAGCCTTTCAAACTCTCGAACGGATACACAAGTATTTAGCTCTCAAACTCTCTCTTTTTAGAGAATTTCTCACGGCTCTCTATTTGTGCACACTAATCAAATGACCCATCTATCTCTATTTATAATAGATGGTATGACAAAAACTAAAAGGGAATGGGAAAATAAAAAAAAAACCCAAACTAAATAGGACAAGGAAAAATTTAAATGGACATTTTCCTTATAGGAAAAAGATTTTCTCCTTGGTTTGGCTCCATAATCCTAACAATCTCCCACTTGGAGACAAAGCAAGCAATATGTCTCCTCTGCAACGGTAGTGACTCATCTCTAGTCGTGGAGAAGCCCAACTGAAGTTGCACACAACTTCAGTTTATCAACAGGAACGACCTTGGTAAACATATCCGCTGGATTCTGACAACTCGGAATCTTTTCAAGCAACAACATTCCATCTTCCAAAGCTTATCTGATAAAATGGTATCTTATTTGTATGTGTTTCGTTCTCGAATGAAACACTGGATTCTTTGCTAAATGAATAGCGCTTTGACTGTCACAATGCAAAGTCCTTTTTCCCAATCTCAAGCCAAGTTCTTCCAAGAAA